CCTGTCAGGCCCCTGCCTGATCTCAGGGCTCAGGGTTACAACCCTTTCCTGTCAGGTCACCCCACTGCTGGCCCCACCCCAGCCGTGTGAGCTGCTCTGGGCTCCTGTGGCCCCACAAAGACCCCAGAGTCCAGGCTGGGCCCGCCCCCCACAGCCTCCGCGTGACCTCTAGCTCCCACGTGTCCTCACAGGTGGCCCCTTTGCTCTGAGCCTGCAGTCCCCAATTCTGTCCCTGACTGGGGCCTCAGGCGCCCCCAGCCCCTCTATTCTCAGCCCTTCATCACCCCAAGCTTAAGTCCTCTCCCTGGGAGCCCCCTGTCCACCAGCCCCGTGTCCTGCCTGGATACCACCACCGCCCTGAACTGTCTCTCCGCCTCCCCTTTGGCTGCCTTTTGGCCCGTTTCATCACTCAGCAGCCAGAGTGGAACATCTCAAGCATCCATCAGACCACAACACAGCCCTGCAGAGTTCAAAAGCTTCCCAGCAGCCGTGGAACAGAGCACAGGGCCCTGTGAGCTAGATGCTGCCTGCCTGTCTGTCCTCATCTCCTGCTGCCTGCCTCGCTCCTCCCTCCAGCCACACTGGCCTCGGGGCTATTTGACAGGCCAGGCTCACAGCCACCATGGGGCCTTCGCTCTGGCTGTCCCCTTGGCCTGTCTTGAGGTCTTCCTCGCGCCCTTGCTTCACGCGAGTCCCTGCTCAAATGTCATCTTTGAAGGACTTCCCTGTCCTGCCTGCCTCTCCAGTCACTCTCGGCTCCTCTCTGTGCTTTATTCTCCATGGCAGTGATCACCTGACACAATACCGTCTGTAATGTCACCTCTGTTTTCACTATCTTTTGCTGCTGTCTTGCTGGTGCCTGGCACAGTGCCTGGCCCACTTTAGCTATCATTTAGTAAACTACTTATTTGTAAATACTTAATATTTATATTAAATATTTAGTAAATAATAGCCATTTAGTAAATACATAATTGTTCAACGAATGAATGAATGAATACACACTCCTCTTTCCCTCCAAAGGGGCATGAAGTTCCATGCTCACTCCATGCTCGAGGGCAGTAAGCATTGTGGGGTGGGAGTCATGGGGCCAGGCTTCTTGATGCACTGTGTGACCCTGAGTGAGTCATATAGCGGCTGATTTCTAGTTGTAGGAATAGTGAATGAGAAAGTATTTAACTATATAGACATAAAACTCTGAATGAGGTATAAACTGGGTTTGAATCCTGGCTCCACCACCTGCCAGCTGTGTGACCTTGGGCAATGTACCTAACCTCTCTGTGCTTCTGTTTCCTCATCTTTGAAATGGGACTAAAACAGCTCCGTTGAATCAGTCAGGTTCTTGGTCTCAATCCAGAATCCTAATGGGCTACGAGGGTTCTCTCACAGGCTCAAAAGGAAGGTGGAGAGCCCAAAACCAAGCTGAGCAGGCCACAGGAAAAAAAATCCTCTGGAACGTGCTCCTGGCACAGCCAGCTCTGGACCTTGGGGCCACAGACCCTGCCGGCCTTCCCTGAGGAGACAGACTCCCAGGTGGGTGCCTCTGACGGCTGAGGCTCAGGTCCCAGCCAGGCCAGGAAGCAGACGGAGGCTGGCCCCAGGTCCCATGGAGGGGAGCCCATCCCAGCGCAGGCCGGGGCTGCGTGAGGGTTAAGGCTTCATGCAGAACTCTCGTGCCCCGCTGGTGGCAACCCTGGGAAGGTGTCTGGTGGAATCCACTGGAGTTAGCATATGCTCTCCTACCACCCAGTGGTGCCAAATGGGTGCGTGTGTCCACCAGAAGGTGTGGGCGACAATGTCGATGGCAGCGCTATGCAGAATGGCCCCAACCGGAAAACACAAAGTGCCCGTCCACAGTGGATGCTCGAGAAAAGAAGCACCTGGAACTCTATACAGCCGTGAGAAAGCAAACCACAGCCCCGGAGCCACCGCGGATAACTGACCAACACGCCACAGGGAGGAAGCCAGCGCGACGCCAGGTCAGCCGTGTGAGGTTGCACCCCGCTCAAAGCCCGGTACAAGGAGCGGGCACTGTCAGAAGCCAGGAGGGGGTCCCTCGAAGGGTGGAGACAGAGCGTCGGGGGCTGTGAACGGTCACTCTCCTGATCTGGGCACCGGCGGGCCCTGCGTGTCCACTTTGTGAAGCGTCCTTGAGTTCTTCACTTACGAGTCCGTATTTTCCTCTAGGCTGGTTACGCTTCAATAAAAGTAACAAAAGGGTTTAAGAAAAAAACTAATCCATGGGAAGCGTTTGGGGTTGTGCCCAGCCCGTGGTGGGAGCTGAATCAATGTTAGGTCCTTGTTGCCACCCGTGTCCTGTCGCTGGTGGGTCTCTCTCACCCTCCATTCCCCCTCCCCATCCCCCAGGCTGGAAGAGACCCCAGCGTTCGCGGCCCTCAGATCTGTGTGCAGACAGAGCAGGTGCCGCCAGCCCAGGGCTCCCGGCCCTTGTGGAGCTGGGGACAGACTCCTGGGTCAGCACTTCAGCTCATTCATCAGGGAATCGGCCAGTTACCTTAGGGCCAGGAGGGGAGCAAGTCCTCAGATGAAGGGCTGGCGAGCAGCTGAGAGCAGGTGTGGACACAGGGCAGGTTATGGGAGCCAGGCCCCGTGAGCCGGGCATGGGCCGGAGTCCGTCCTGAGGATGGCAGGAAGCCAGTGTGCGTCTGGGGGCGGGAGGGGCACGAGGGAGGGTGGTCACGTGTCCAGTTGTGCCCCCTGGCTTTGGTGTGGAGAATGAGTGAAAAGGGAGAAAAACAAATTCCAGGAGCCCGATTAGGAGCTTTGGTGGCCGAGAGCAGGTCAGGGTGGGACGTGGAGATGGGGAGAAGTGGAGGACTGGTGGGACATTCTGGGGTTAGAAGGGCCAGGGCCTGGGGGTTGGCGTCCAGAGGGGACGGAGGCGTGGGAAGGGTGAGGCAGGCCCCGCCCAGGGTGGGGCAGCCTGTGGACACAGGGCCCTGCTCCGTGGGTCCAGGAGGAGCAGGATGGGGGCGGGCTGAGAGTCAGGTTTGGGAGCAGAGTAGGAAGATCCGAGAGCCGTGGACAAAGCCTGTGGAGGTTGGTCAGGGAGGGAAGGGGAGCCGTGTGCAGAGAGCTGTGTGCAGGGAGGCCGCCAGGTTGGGGAGGGTGGGCCCTGCCCGGAGGGTTTCTGCAGCTCAGTGGAAGGTCGGGCAGGGGTGACAAGGGGTGGTACACAGAGTGGGCTGGGGCCAAGGATGACAGATGCGGGGCCTGGAGGGCTGAGCTAGTCCGTAAATTTCCAAAACAGTGACCTGGGCAATGGTAAATGGGGGTCCCTGGCCTCTGGGGAGGAGGGACCGCAGTCCAGGGTGCTGTGCCTGAGACCACAGGGTGGGTCCTGTGTGGAGCCCTTGTGCGGTCTCCAACGCATCGAAGGGGCTGAGCAGCAATGACAATAACAACAGTGACAGCAGCTGTGCTAGACTCTACGACTGCTCGGCTGTCTGTTGGCTCTCGGGGGGGCCTGGCGCTCCCCTCACCTTTGACGTCAGGCTTGGCTGCCTGCTTGCTTTGCTCAATGCCCTGAGCATGAGCGAGTTGCCCCACTTCTAAGAAGAAACTTCTAGAGTCACGGGAAGGTGCTGCTGTGTTTACTTCTCTCTGCTGGGAGACCAGCCGTGTCCCAGATGAGGGCGGTTCCTTTAACCTGGGTCACGGGGTGGAGCTGACTTGGTGCAGAGCTGCATCCAACCCATGGCAGACACGTCGTGTGAACAAGAAAGAAACCTTGTTGTAGGCCGCTAGGATTCGGGAGCTGTTTGTCACTGCAGCATAACACAGCCTCAGCTGACCGCTACAGCGACGCCCGGACTTGCGTGTTACCTCTGCCCCAGGCACCGTGAGGTTAATCCTAAAACAACTCTGCCAGCAAAAGCAGCAAAGGGGCACACCGTGTTATTCCACGTATATAAAATTCTAGACAACGTAAACTAGTCTATAGTGACAGGAAGCAGATCAGTGGCTGCCTAGGGACCGGGTAGGGAAGAGGGGGGCCAGAGGGAGGGACTGAAAGGGGCACAAGGACTCTTTTGGGGTGATGGATCTAATTGTGGAGACGGTTTGTCACAGCCAGGACACAGAGCCTGACACTTAACAGCCACTGACCACACCCCAAAATTATCCCCAAAATTACCAGTGATGGACATGGGGTCTGGCCTAACCCTTTCCTGAAACCTCCGGCCGGGTGCAGACCCAGGCCCCCCAGAAGCCTGGAATGGGCTTCGGTGACCACCAGGCCCATGGCCCCACTTCTCCCGTGGACAGCCAGTCTCGGGGGCCACGTCCTGTGCAGATCTGAGTGCCAGGGAGAGGACAGACCTGTCTCCTGTGACCTCAGCCAAGGCAGGTGGGCCTCTTCTCAAAAGAGCCTGGGGCCATGCTGGGCTGGTGGAGGCCTCAGCCTCCAGAGGGCTCCAAGGAGGCCAGTTCCAGGAATGCTGCAGCCTGAGGGTCCCCTAGGTCCCTGAGCTGGAAGGCGCCAGCCTGTCTGGTGTCTGGGGTTTCACAGAAGGGAATTCTAGAAATGGTCTCAGGCTGTCGGAGCTAGAGGAGGAAGCTCCGGGAGGCGAGAGGAGATGAAACAGGTCTCCAGGGCCCAGGAGGGTGAGGCCCCCAAGGCGGGTGGAAGGACGTCTTGATTTTCTCTCTGATGCTGGAGGTGGGGGAGGCTGTGATGCGGGTGTGGGGTGAGAGGTGGCCTGCTCTAGGTGAGCCAGGTGGGGAGGGGACGGAGGCTGGCCCGGGAGAGGCCTAGGGGCTGAGGAAGACTGCAGGGCCCTGCTGGGTGAGGTGGTTGAGTGGTGGCCCTGGAGAAGATATGTCCCCGTCCTAACCCCCAGAGCCAGCGAATGGGGGCTCATTTGGGAAGAGGGTGTTTGTGTCATCAAGTTAAGGATCTGGGACGAGATCATCTTGGAGTGCTCGGGCGAGCCCCAACGCCTGGTACAAGCGTCTTTGTAAGAGATGCACAGCGGAGAAGCCCACATCACCACGGAGGCAGAGGTGGGAGTGCTGCAGCCACAGGCCACGACGCCTGGCACCCCCAGGAGCTGGCAGAGGCACGGAACGACCTGCCCCGCAGGCTCCGCCGGGAGCGTGGCCCTGACAACCCTGGGTTTCAGACTTCTGGCCCCAGACGGTAAGAGGATGACTTTCTGTGTCTAAGCAGTTGGTTTGTGGTAATTTGTCATGGAAGCTCTGGAAACGATCCAGTGGGTGAAGATGGGCGCATTACAGACCTCTCTCCCCTGCTTGGGGCTGCGCCTCCGGCCAGGAGGCTCACAGGCTGGCAGCCCGGGCATCGAGGGGGAGCCAGGGACCGGGGCTGCCGGGTGGAGGGGCTCAGGCTTGGCGGGCAGAGGTGGGCCTGCAGAGGTGATGGGAGGAAAGACGGGGGCAGAGGCCGGGAGCTCAGAGGAGGGTGGGAGAGCTGGTCCAGGAGGGGCACCCAGCGAAGGGCATTTCAGGTGGGGCACTTTCCAAAGATGGCAGGGCCTGGGAAGGGACCCGGGAGGGATGGCAGAGGAGGCAAGGGGGGCTGCCCCAGAGCCGAGGATTCCTGGGGAGTGGGGCTGATGCCTCTAGGGAGGGGCACGGCCAGAGGGGCCATGCCAACTGGTTGAGGACAGACCCTTCTCAGACGGCGTCCTGGAGTGTGTTGCTGGGGGCTTTCGTGGGCCGCCGTTGGTAACCCTGTGCACGTTTTCTCGTTTCATTCCCACAGCAGCTCTCTGAGGGATTGTCCCCGTTTGACAGTGAGGAGGTGAAGGCTTGGGGTCCGTCACCACCTGGGGTCAGTTGCCCAGCGTGTAAGTGTCAGACCCCGAGGGGAAGCCATGTGTCCGACTGCAAAGCTGGCCTCCTACTGAGCGCAGTGCGGGGGGCAGTCCATGCACGGGTGGGGGGCTGCTGAGGGAGCCGAGGATGGAGCCTGGCAAGGGGTGCAGGGTCACTCTGCCTTCCTGCCCAGCCTGGCCTGTCCCTCCTTCTCACCCTGCCTCGGGGCCCTCTGTCCCTCCTGCTGGGCTCCGGGTCCCTTCTGTCTCTTCCACGGCTGGGACCCCGCTGAGCCCAACGTCACATCAGCAGGCCCTTTCCCTCTTCCTGCCTGCCCAAGAGGGATCGCTCTAAAAGCTGCTCTTTGTCCTCCTTTTTTCGAAAAATGTGTTTTTAATTAATTTTATAATAAAACCCAAACTGAATTCTTGAAAACAACAGCCAGGAGAAATAATAAAAACATCTCAGCTCCAGGAAGCCCTGACCCAGCTCCGCCCACCGCAGCCCCAGCAGCAGCTCTAGCTGCCTCCTGCTCTCCCTCCCCGAGCCTGCCTCCGCCCCAGTTCCCAGCCCCCGGGCCTAAACATCCCGGAACAGCCCCCTCCTCCAAGCGCTCGGTCCCCGCCCTGCCCCCTCCCACCTGCCCGCGCTGCCTCCCATCTGACTCCCCTCCAAGCTGGTCCCCAAACCGTCCCCAGAGGCTGACTCTAAACGGCAACTGTGACTCCATCAGTGCCCTTTCCTCCACGTTCTCCACCCTTAACTCTGTAGCCGGGCATCCCAGCTTTGGAGGTCCAGTCCTCATGCCCGGCCACGCCCCTGACCCCCTGCCTTTGCGTGTGCTGGTCCATCCGCTTGGGACCCCCTTCCTCCACCTGCCCAGGAGACCTCCTGCTCACTGTCGTGACAGTCGTGTGGGGCTTGGTTTATCTGTTCACCTGATAAGTGCCAACTCTGGTGCTATGCCCTGGGCATGGCAAAAACAGGGCAGACCCAGCCCTGGCACCCTCGAGTTTGTGATCCCTGCTGCCATTGCCCAGGTAGATCGTGAGTCCCCCAGGACTGGGACCGCCTGGCTCCCCAGAGCTGAGCTCGGTGCCACACGCAGTATGTGCTCCTTAAATGTTTCTTGACTGACTGACAGACCAAATGAGTGAATGAATAATCATAACCCTTTCCCTCTTCACTGTCTCCCTGCTCCTGGGCAGGGGCTGCGTTGGCCTGAGTTGAGTCACCTGCTCACAGGAGGTGCTCAGTCCTAGGACACACTGCTCCCCTGGGAGAGGGAGGAGCGAGTAGGGAAGGGGGCAGTGAGGGGTGAGGAAACTGAGGGCTCTGGGTCCTCAGGGCTGGGAGCCCAGGAGTCTGCAGCCCTCTCCCTTCTACTCCCAACTATTTCTGAACTCACGGGGAGAGGTGGCCTGTCCCCAAGGGCCTCCAGCTCAGAGGAGGGGATTCCAGGGAGGCTGGCTGAGCTCCTCCAGCTGGTCCCTGCCCTTCCCTGAGGTCCAGCCCTCTCCCCAGCTCTGCCCACGCCTCGAGCTCAGAGCAGGTGCAGGGGCACTGAGGGCCCCACGTGGTGCAGGCAGGGCCTGGCCCCTACTGTCTCCCCCTTCTCAATGCTTTCTTGTCTGCTTTTCTTTTTTAAATAGTATTTTAATGGTTTGGTGGTCGCTGCAGAAATAGTATACGTTTGTTCCATCAGTTTGAAGCAGACACCAGTGCCTAAGGATGAATGGTTGTCTCTGGAATCCCACCGCATCAAGTCGACCTGAGCCCCATCTGGGTAATCATTTGGCAGGTGCGTTCCCGCTCCATCCCAACACTTGTGACACGACATGGTGTGCGTGCACCGAGTCCTTGGGAAGGTGGGATACTAGGAAATGCGTTACTTTGACACTTGCTTTTTGCACTTAAAAATATACTATGGACATCACCCCAAGGTAATGCATCCAGAGTTAACTCTTTCTCTCTAACTGCTGTGTAGTGCTTCCTGGGGGCGTGTAATTGTTTAAATGGCACGCTATGGACACCTCGGCCTTTTCCCCCGTGTGACAAGGACTGTTGCACTAAACGTCCTGCTACTCTTCCTTAAGTTCTGGTTGGGCTCCCCCTGGGCTTAGGACAAATTCCCCACCGAGGGGTCACGGGATCAAAGGGTATGCGCATTTCCATTTTTAACAGATCTTGCCATTTTACTGCCTCAAGTGCTCAGAGCATTCACAAGCGCTCCCGGCCCGTGCGTGCCGCTGCCCCTGCCCTGGCCGCCCTAGATGTTCGCTCTCACTTGTCTACACCTGTGCCAGTGTCGTGGGCAAAAGCTGGCGGCGCATTCTTCTGAAACTGTGTTTCCTAAATACGACTAAGGTTGAGCAACTTTTCATGTGTCAACTGGCCTCTTTTATTTCCTCTCCTGTGACTTTTTTTTTTTGTTTTTTTGAGGAAGAATAGCCCTGAGCTAACATCTGCCGCCAATCCTCCTCTTTTTGCTGAGGAAGACTGGCCCTGAGCTAACATCTGTGCCCATCTTCCTCTACTTTATATGTGGGATGCCTGCCACAGCACGGCTTGCCAAGTGGTGCCGTGTCCACACCCGGGATCCAAACCGGCGAACCCCGGGCCACCAAAGCGGACCATGCGCACTTAACCACTGCGCCACCAGGCTGGTCCCCCTCTTCCGTGACTTTTTGAATCTAATCCTTTTGCCCAGTTTTCAACTGAGGTGTCTTTGTTTTTAAAAATTACCTTATAGCACCAGTTTGAACATTATTGATATTGACAAATAAAAAGGGCAAGCAATAGGATATATTGGAGTATATGAGGAAGCCATTTGGTATAAACCTAATTCAGCCTGACTTTGTTTTTCCAAAACGGCCTGACTCTGGCCATTGAGCATGTACTGTATATCTGCTTAGACATTTTGAGATAAAGGTGCAACTCCCCTCCCCCTCCCAACGTTGGTATCTCCTTAAAGATTAAGTATCTTTCTTTAGGCTGGGAACTGATTGCAGCGCTCATCTGTGACCTCCCGGCTCGAGGCAACACACCTGCCACTCTGCGGCGTTCACTGAGATGGCAGACCTATCTGTCGTTTCCATCAATCGCTGTGCTGACGGAGCAGCCTCGTGACTATTGTGGGAGGGACATTTCAATCATATGTGAAACACCCTCTTTGAGGGTATGTAACCACACTGTGTACCCCACTTGTTTGGAGTGCTCTGTTCCTTTGTGGAAAGACTCTCCAGGGTTATAATCCTCAGATTTAAGCTCAGAATAAACTCACCAACATTTTCATTTATAGATTGGTTATGGATTATTTTCATCGACAATATTAATCCTTTGTTATATGTGTTGCAAATATTATACTCCAGGGTAACAGTTGACTTTTGCTATACGGAAGTTTCTATATACTTAAATAATTTTTTAACTTCTTATTGTGGAAATTTTAAAACATACTCAAAAGGAGTAGCAATAGCATGATGGACTGCCCCCTCGCCCACCTCCCAGCTCCAGCCGTGACGGAGATGAGGCAGCTTTGCGCCCACTGTGAAGCTCCCTGTCAGCCTTGCTTGTGGTGGCTTTTGCAATCCGGAGGTGGTTGCTGGTGCGTAGTCGAGTTTCTCAGTCTTTCCTTTTGTGGCTTCTGAGCTTCATATGCTACTCAGAAAGGTCTTCCCTCTCCACGATTATTAACCAAACCAAGGCAAACAGGTTCTTCTAGTCCTCTTAAAATATGACTTCTTATTTTTGCAATGGTGGCGTGGCAGTCTTCCATGTGGAGGGCCGTCGTTTATTGACCCAGCCCTCATTCCTGAACACGAGCTGGCTTTGATTCCCCTCTGTTGTAAGTCACGCTGTACTGAGCAGCCAGGCTGACTTCTGCCTCCTCACCGGGATTATTTCAAAGCAAACCCCAGACATCAAATCATTTCATCCACAAACACAAGACCTTAAAACCTTTTCTATCATAAAATCTGTTAATCCTCTGGTCTTTTTGTCTTGCACTTTCAATCTTATTTATATTTTGAATAGACAGCCTATTCACAGGGTTCAACACTCAGAAGAACAAAAGAATACACTGAAGACTTCGTTTCCCACCCCGTTCTCCAGCTGCCCGGGTCCTTCCCTGGGAAATGACCAGCATTATCAGCGTCTTGTGTATCTTTAGGGTCATTATATACCACATATAAAAGCGAATTATGTGCTTTCCCCCTTTCAAAATACAATAGCTAAGCTACTTGAACAATGATCTGCGCTCAGGTTTTGTTACTTAACAACATGCCTTGGAGATTGTTTCATAGGGAGCATCCTAGTTCTTTTTTCTAGCTCCATCCCTCCCCTTGCGTGGATGTGGAGCGGAGTTCAGCTGCCCCATCTCGACTGGCGCACATTTGGCTGCCTTCCAGCATGGACAGTGTTGCAGGGACGAGCCCTGTACACACACCGTTTCGCTCTTGTGTGTGAGGGTGTCTGCAGGGTCAGTTTCTGGGGGCGGAAGTGCCGGCTCAAGGCGGGCACGTGTTCACGATGGATGGACGGTGCCAACTGGTCTCTGGCGGCTGAGTCAGTTTACACACTGGCCAGTAGAGCAGGAGTGCTCCTCCTCCTGCTCTTGCAAATGGCGCGTGTCACCATGTTTTTAATCTCCACTGATCTGGTAAGTGAAGAACAGTATGCTAGGAGACATACTTTTCAATTGTCTTTTTAAGAGCGTTATTGTGCATCTTTTCACGTGTTTAAGGGCCCATTTGAATTTCCCCTTTTCCAGTAATTGTTTCTTCATAGCCTTTGCCCATTTTCCTCCATTTGAGTCATAGTTGGTTCATTTTTAAATGACTTCTGGGAACTCTTTATATATTAGAGAAATCAGCCCTTTGCCTACGTTATGAGTTGCAGTTTCTCCCCAGTTTAAAGTTTTTCTTTTGACTTGGCTTGTGGTAGTTTTTGCGATGCAGAAATTTTTATTTTTTTATGTAGGCACATTTATCAATCTTTTCTTTTGAGGCTTCAGGTTTTGTGTGATACCTAGGAAGGCCTCCCCACTCCGGGATCTTTATTTTTTCATTCTCCGGGGTTTCACTGAGTATTACAAAACATGGTCTGCTTTTCACGTGGGATGGCCCATAATCAGGTGGGGAGACCACCCTTCATTTAACCAGTCCCCCACAGCTGAACATTTAGGCTATTTCTGATTTTCCTGAATTACAAACAACACAGCAGTAGAAAGCCTCGTCCGTAAATATTCTGTTTTATTAGGTTACGTTCCCAACAGTGACCCTCATTCCTTTCCCCAAATGGCCCTCCAGAATGTCGGGCTGCACTTCCGCCTCGGGGCACATTTATGCCTCTTAAAATGCCCTTGGAGCCCAAGGCAGAGAGGCGAGAACCCAGGGGGAGACTCCCTCCCGGCCTGCTTGCACCTTTCCTGGCTTGTGAGCCACAGAGGGGATTGTGTCCAAGATGCTGGCGGAGGGGGCCAGCAGGAGGAGCCTGGAGGGGGAGCAGGGAAACCCGGAATAGCCGCTGGGGTCTCACTCAGAGCCTCCTTTACTCGGAATTCTGTACTCCAGTCAGCTTGCGCCTGGCTTTAGGAGCAAGGCAACACATGCAGAAGGGGGTAAGGCTGCTCCTGAGAGGCCCCGGGGCCCCTGTAGTTTCCAAAGGAGGAGCCAGTACGAGCAGAGTAAAAGGCATCAGTCAGAAAACAGCCTGGACCACTCAGCGCAGGGCTGAGCCGTCCCACAGGTCCCAGCAATGACGAGGAGGAGCACATTCGACTGGGCCATCTCTGAATTTGCTTCGAAACCTGAGATTCTGAAGGCATCTTGAACGTTGTGGTAGGCGGAATAACACCCCCTCCCCAAAGAGGCCTCTCCCTGTGTCGACGAAAATAGTCCATAACCAATCTATAAATGAAAATTTGGGTGAGTTTATTCTGAGCTTAAATCTTAGGATTATAACCCGGGAGAGTCTTTCCACAAAGGAACAGAGCACTCCAAACAAGTGGGGTATACAGGGTGGTTATATACCCTCAAAGAGGGTGTTTCACATATGATTGAAATGTCCCTTTACAATAGTCACGAGGCTGCTCCGTCAGCATAGCGATTGATGGAAACAGCAGATAGGTCTGCCGTCTCAGTGACCGCCGCGGGGTGGCAGATGTGTTGCCTTGGGCTAGGGGGTCACAGATGAGCGCTGCAATCGGTTCCCAGCCTAAAGAAAGATGCTTAATCCCCAAGGAGATGCCAACGTTGGGAGGGGGAGAGACGTTGCACCTTTATCTCAAGGGCCTTTGCTCTTGCCATAGGGACTCTCTAAAGCAGATATACAATGCATGCTCAATGGCCTCCTTCAGGCCGTTTTGGAAAGACAAGGTCAGGCCGAATTAGGTCCACACAAAATGGCTTCCTCATATACTCCAATATATCCTATTACTTGCCATTTTTATTTGTCACCTGAATCCGCAGAATCTGAGACTCTGTTAGGCTGTGTGGCAAAGGGGAATTAAAGTTGCCGATGGAACCAAAATTGTTCATTTTAAACCCTAAAATAGGGAGATTATCTTGGACTATCTGAATAGACACTATGTAATCAGAAAGATTCTTTAAAGCAGAAGCAGGAGGGCTGGCCCCGTGGCCGAGTGGTTAAGTTCGCGCGCTCTGCTGCAGGCGGCCCAGTGTTTCGTTGGTTCGAATCCTGGGCGCGGACATGGCACTGCTCATCAAACACGCTGAGGCAGCGTCCCACATACCACAGCTAGAAGAACCCACAACGAGAAATATACAACTATGTACCGGGGGGCTTTGGGGAGAAAAAGGAAAAAATAAAATCCTAAAAAAAAAAAAAAAAAAAAAAATTCTAACAACAACAAAAAAAAGCAGAAGCAGGAGGCAGAAGAAGGGTTCCGTCGGAGTGATACAAAGTCAGAGAGACTGCATGGGCCGCGCCGGCTTTGAAAACGGTGGGGCCACAAGCCCAGGAGTGTGGGCTGCCTCTGGAAGCTGGAAAAGGCAAAGAAAGGATGCTCCGCAGAGCGTCCAGCAGGAAGCCTGGGGACGTGCTTGACTTGAGCCCAGTGAGACCCGTTCTGGACCTGACTGACAAAGCTGCACGAGGATAAATGTGCAGGGTTTCAATTTGTGTTAGCTCCTCACGGCAGCCTAGGAGACGACCACAAACAGGATCCAGCACTGCGCAAAACAGGGGCCCAGAGCGGAGGAGTCCTTGTCCCGGGGCGCGGCCTCTGGAAGCAGGATCCGCATGAGAGGCACAAACCTCTAGCTCGGGTCTGTTTTTCACTCGGTCCTGCCGCACGTCTACCTTTTTAATGCTGAGCCCCAGGTATCCCGAAAGGTAAATTATGTCCCCTGGAGAGATTATTCAGTTAACCGGAGGATGCGTGGTTTCTTTTTCTGGGTGAACCGGGCTCTCCCCTCAACTCGAAGGGCGAGGTTCTGTGCGCCTCCCCCAGTGGCAGAAGCTGTCCAGATGTGGGGGACCGGAGCCCTGGGGCTGCAGCCACAGCGGGGCTCAGGGGCCACAGGGGAGCAGGAGCCCAGGTACCCCCACCTCCACCCCCACCCCGGGGGGCTCCGGGGAGGCTGCGGGCGGGCAGGCGCGGGGAATCGGGCGGCGCTTTGGTCGGGCGGCCTAAGGAGTTAACCCCGGAGGAGCGGTGGTCGGGTCAGGTTACTTCCCTTTACACAGTCGGGGAAGGAGGAGTCAGGTCCTGGTGGGGCAGTGGCGGTGGTTGGCCGGCTCCTCGTCCCGGGAGGGGGCTCCGAGCGGCCGAGGTTGAGCACCCGGACGGCCACAGGCAAGTGGAGCGCGGCTCCGGGGCTGCGGGGCGGGCGGGGGGCGCGGAGGCTGCGGGGCGGTCGGGCGGCGCCGGGACTGCGGGGCGGTCGGGGGGCGCCGGGGCTGTGGGGCGGTCCGGGGGCGCCGCCGAGGTCGGGAAGGGACCTGGACGCGAGCGTGTGCGGAGCCCCGACGTCTGCTGCCGACGCCCCCTCCCGGGTGGGCGCACCGAGTCCCACTGGGTGCGGTGAACTCTTGTGGCCAAGATCCCGCTCCAATGTCGCGGCCCAGGCAGCCCCCAGTGGGCCTGTCAGCGGTCAGGGGCCTCCCACATGGAGAAGCGGCCCCAGGGGCGGGGGCGCAGACCCTCTGGGGAGGAAAGATGGAGAGACCCCGCGGGTGCCGCGGACCCCGTCCCACTGGCATCTGAGGGGGTGGAGGACCGGTCGAGCCCGGGACCTCAGCGGCCGGGTTTTGTGGTTCG